TAATAATTAGCGATGTTGAGCATCTTTTTATGTGCCTGCTGGCCATCTAGACATCTTCATTGGAGAGATGTCTGTTTAGGTCTTCTGCCGATTTTTTGATTGGGTTTTTTTTTTAATTTTATTAAGCTATATGTGTTGTTTCTGTATTTTAGAAATTAATCCCTTGTCAGTCTCATCTTTTGCAAATATTTTCTCACATTCCATAGGTTGTCTTTTCATTTTGTTTATGGTTTCCTTTGCTCTACAAAAGCTTTTAAGTTGAAGCAGGTCCCATTTGCTTGTTTTTGCTTTTATTTTCTTTATTTTAGGGGATGGATCAAAAAAAATGTTGCTGCAACCTATGTCAAAGATTGTTCTATGTTTTCCTCTAGGATTTTTAAGAGTATTCAGTCTTACATTAAGGTCTTTAATCTATTTTGAGTTTATTTTTGCATATGGTCTTAGGGAATGTTCTAATTTCATTCATTTACATATAGCTGTCCAGTTTTCTCAGCACCACTTATTGAAGAGACTGTCATTTCTCCAATGTATAGTCTTACCTCCTCTGTCATAGATTAATTGATCTTAAGTGTGTCAATTTATTTCTGGGCTTTCTATCCTGTTCCATTGATTTATGAGTAACTGATATTTTTAGGTAAACAATGTAAATGGCTAAGATAAAGGCTTCTAACTCCTCAATTTTGTCTCCCATCAGCTGCCCTTTCTGCTCTAGGGGAAATATATAAGCACAGAGGGCATTGGCCAGAAAATGGATACTTTGTCACTTTGCAGATTCTGAGGAGCTAAGTTGCACTTGGAGAGGTGCCTAGCCTAGGTAGACTTCACAGCCTAGAACCAAAGAAGGCTAACCCTTTGCCTCTCAAGTTCCTACCAGAATTTCAGATTTTATTAATCCATTTAGGAACAAGCCATTTTAGTACATATCAGCCCACAAGGAGAGCCACAAGAGAGTTTGCCCCACCACCTAGAGCAAAAATGATCATGACCACCTGCCCAGATCCTTCTGGACTCAGATGGCAGAAAGAGAGCTCACCTTTAGCCATGCAGATGCAACAGATTTTTAATCCCAAGACAGAGCCAGCCTTGCTCCCAGCTCTGTGGACTAGTTGATTTCCTTAGCCTTTTATTCATTCATTTATTCAAAAAATGTTGATGAGTACTCACTTTGAGCCAGGCACTATGCTAGGTGTTGAATCAGATACGGCTTCTGTCTTCATGGAGTTTATAGACTATGTGGGAGTGCTTCTCCTTGGGGACAAAATAAAATGGAATGTTCTGATTCATCCTAGGAGGCAGAATATATCAGAGGAACCTTGGGAAGATGAAAAAAGATGTAGAGAGAAGGCACCTACTAAAGGCAACATTATCTCTTGGCCATATTTAGAATATTGAGCATCACAATTGACATTTTTGGACTTCAGAACAGTTTTCAGGGTAATGAAGCCTTTGGCCATTCTTAGTTCTGTGGTGCAACTTCATCATCTGGTTCCAGGATAGACACAAGTTGTGGGTTTCTTGGTAGAAAAAGAAGAATTTTATAGAAGATCCACAATTTGTTTTTTGTTTGATTCAGAACTGTTTACTACTGAAATGAATCCTTTAGGAGTTTGGGCTATGAGGGCTTGGTCTACTACTAGCACAAACTCAGGGTCCCTTGGAGCTCTGAGGGCTACACTCTTAATCCACAGAATAGGACAGAGCCACCACCACTGCAGTGCTAAGCAGCCCAGAGAATCACCAGTCACCTAATCTTTTTTGTCTCAGTTTTGAAAATATGACAATATGTTACAAATGAGCAACCATCTTAAATGTACTTTATTATATAAATTTTTTTCTTTTTCTTCCCCTAGGGTTTTTTTTAAATTATTGCAGTATAGTCAATTACAATGTGTCAATTTCTGGTATACAGCATTATTATATAATTTTAAGCAGATTAATACTACTCTGCTTCCTCTTCATCATCACTGTCATCAATAATTTTTTCACTATCTTCATATTAGGTGAAGGACATAGAAAGTATATTTTTTATCTTCACGAAAATTATATTTCAGAGAGTAGAAATATAACATTCTTGTCTTCTTTTGCATTTTATATGTATTCAATTATTACTAAAATATCACAAGAGTAGCAGAAATGTTCCAAGTGGGATACAGAACAATAAGGCCTTTTCTGATATTTTGTTTTCTTTTCATCCTGAAAAGATATAGTTGCTGTGACTCCCTATGGCACTTTGTTCTACTTTCTTACTTTTCTTCTTCATAAATGTAATTTGGAAGTTAACTAGAAATCACAAAGCAGTATTTTAAGCTGAAAATTATCTTTGACTTAAAAATTATCTTAGCCAAAATTGTGATTTGTATAAACTCTGTTTCAGAATTAAGAATTGACTAGAAAAAGTTCATTTTAAAAAAACATCGAGAAATCTTTTCTAGCTATCTGGTGAATTCAAATGGGCTCACAATGCATAACACAGAGGTTTATAAGAAGTGAGAAGTTTGACATACACTCATATTTATGAGCCCTGAAATGTTACTTGGGCATTTCTAGTTTAAAATATGGAAATCAAGATTCATTAACAGTGTCCTGTCTCCTAAGAACACTGTTAGAGTCGTTGTACTTGGTCTACAATGGTGTTCAGTAAGTATTTGTAAAGTAACGGATGAGTCTGGCAAATAAAATCCACTTGAGGAATACATTCAATACATTGAATACGTACTCCGTGCAAGAAGAACGTTGAAGAGCCAGGAAATGTTTAAAGCATTGCGCTATAAGAAAGGAAAAAAAAGAGTGAAAACCAATGAGATTGTTAAGTGGTAGCTCATTTGCTGGGTAGTTAGTTACCTTTTATTCATTCAGTATTTATTGAGTGCCTCCTGCAGACAATTATTCTCCTTGGTGCTTGGGCTATAATAATAAACATGGCAGACATTGACCCTCATGAAACATATTCAAATGGAGGTGACAGTTAATTATCCAGTTAATTGTTCGTTTCAGTTATGATTATTGCCCTGAAGGTAGTATACATAGTGCCATACGACTTTATGAATGGGGAACCTGACCTAGGGTAGGGGGCATCAGCAGAGATTTTTCTAAGCAAAGCAAATGATGTTTGAGCTGAGTTCTAAGGATGAAGAGTAGAAGCTAACTGAGGGTGGGGTGGGGCATGGGGATGGACATGTTCTAAGTAGAGGGAAGGCTCTGAGGTGGGAAGGAGTAATGAGCAAAAGGGAGATGGACTTGAGGGTTTCATAGGGCAAGTTAGGTGTATTGGATTTATCCTAAGATTATCATAAAGCTATTGAATGGAAGTAACATGATCGATTTTCCCTTTTAAAATCCCAGTTCCTGAATAGGAACGGAGACTTAGAATTTTCCACAAAATTATCTCTTTTTTTCCCTCTTTGGAAGTTGTATTCTTAGTATTTTTAGTTTTTATTTAGTTTTATTTAGTTATTCCACGAAATTATCTTGAGTAGGATTTTGTCAGTCAGTTAAAGGAAATAATAATAAGAGCAGATGTGTGGGATCTTGAAAGAATGGTGAAGGTGTACAAAGGGACTGCTCTGGGTCCTGGGTCCTGGTTCCTGGGTGGCTGGAATATTGGTGGGACCAGACATTGAAGAGTCTTACTAGGCTTTGTAATAGAGGCAGTGAGGAGACTTGGGGGTTTGTAGTCAAGGGAATGACTTGAAAGATAACTTCTGATAGATCGGAGGTGAGGGTGGTGACTAGGAGGCTCCTATAATAGTCTCACCAGGAGATGGAAAGGGTAGATTTAATGTAAGAAAAAATCAGCAGTAAAATTAGTAAAACATTGTGGTTGGCGGTGGGAAGAGACATGGTGAGGTAAGGCCACGCACTTGAGAACAACTTCAGCTTTTCTAGTGTGGGTGACTGGTAGAGGAACGTGAGAATATACAAGTTTTGGACCTTTAGAGTTTGAATACCTGAGTTTGAAGTCTCTGTGGGGTGGACCCTATCTAGGTGGAGATATCTGGTGGGCAGTTGGAAATATCAAAGTGAATATAGAAGGGTATTGATGAAGGAAGAATTGGGGCTAGATAAATAAATTTATGGTCATGATCATCCAGGTATAGTTGATGAAATCTAGGGAAAGTATGAAAAAGCTGGTTGGAACTCTAAGACTAACAGTTAAGAAGAATTACCTAGGGGAAGAATATAGGAGAAAAAGGGGGAAAAAAAGACTGAGGACATTTAGAAAGAGAGCAGAAACCAGAAGAGAGCAATGCTATAAGGAGAGAGATTTTTCAAAGAGCAGTGGTCGGCAGGGCCCAGGGAGTACTCCTCCATCAGGGCCTTTTTCTTCCCTCTGTCAACATGGAGTCCCTCACTCATCTCCTTCAGGCCTTCACAGCAGCTTCTCAGGGAGGCCTTCTCTGATCTTCACTCTGTTTGAAATACACCACTATCCCTGGCATTGTCTCCCTCCCCTGTTTCCCATACTTTTACCACTATTATTTATCTTTGTTTATCTCTCTGTGAAGACAGTGATTTTTATTTTTTTGTTCACTGCCGAATCCCTGTGCTGAGAACAATCCTCGGCAAACGGTGAGCGCGGAATACTTGTGGAAGGAGTAACTGAGTCATACAGAGAAGGAATGTAGGAGCAGGAATTAAAACACTTGGTGGTGGTGGTAGTGAAAAGTTTCTGAAGCGTCGTGGAAACAGTCATGTTACAGTGGTCTGGGAGGAGGAGGAGAGTGGGGGATGAAAAGAAGAATGAGGGTGGTAGCTGATACGGAGAGAGGATGGGGGGAGGGGTGAGGAGTAGAAGCCATCGAGGAGAAGGAAGTTGGAATAGGTAGGCAATAATTGAGGGCAGCTGTCCTAGAGGAGTCGACGAGGAGATCAAGTTGGCCTGAGACAGACGGGAGAGAGATAAGGGTGGATATAGATGTACTGACTTGTGAAAGGAGAAGGAAATTAAGTGAATTCATGCCTCATGGCCAATGTATTCTTCATAAATTAGGAAGCTGATTTTCAGTTGAGTGTAAGAGAGATGGGATAGAAGATGGAGAACCATTTGTTATGATTTTGAAATTCCTTCTCTGTGAATAAGAACTGACTGACTAGGACTAGAATAAGAAGTGCCAAACAGTATTAACACTGCCTCGAGTGGAAAAGGCTGTGTTTTAGCCTAGAAGTCACTTGACAGCTGTCATGAGTACATCCTTACCTAAAACCCATGATTGAAAATACCCTATTCCAAAGACTAAATTATGAGCAGAACATTGTTCTAAAACTGGACAAATGCCAGAGTACAAGTGAAGCATTTATTTTCAGTAGGATAACTGTCCGCTGACACCCGTGGTAACAAGTAACTAATACAGATGTCATCAATCTACTTGATGCTCTTCTGGTGCGGCAAAGCAACAGTTTGTATCATCAATATATGGTTTTATTGTGATGGATTCAAGAAACATATGTAAGCCAATTTAAGGCTGGAAGAAGGCCAAGGCATTCATCAAGCTTTGTCTTTGTCCTTGCAAATGTTTTCTTAGATGAGTGTTTTGCCATTAAAAAAATATCAAGTTCTGGCCTGATTGAAAAATGAGACTTTAAAATAATCTTAACGTTTGCTCTGCCTTCCGACGAGCTGTCACTTGCATCTTAGCACAGACATTCATCTTCTATGAGTAAGAGGGATTCTTTTAATTTATCTATTTTATGTATTATAGACAAGTATATGGAAAAGTTATCTTTAAAAAAGGTGGCCAAAAATATCCACAAATTACTTCACAGAAATTTAGAGAAGGGATATTGGAATAAAAAAAGAACCGAATACTTAATTCCACCTACTTCCAGCACAGACTAAAAGAGGCATGAAGTCCTGTTAAGGTTAAATTAGCCTCAGTTACTTAAGATAAATCCGCTCAAGCAGCAGGCAGTGCCTCAGCCTGCTTTAGTGCTGCTTATTCTGCTCAGCTCGCCTACATGGAGGCAAAAACCTAATTCACTTTTGGCTCCGTCTCAGAAGTTTGGGTTTATTTCGTAGTAAATCAGAGTTAGTTTAACCTAGGACCCATCTTTTTCCCATGTCTTGCCTGAGAGGACACACATTCCTAAGTTAGTGATCTCTAGACCTTTTTAAAACAGTAGAATGCTTTTTCCTAAAGAAATTATTTCTAGAACTCAGGGCAGAGTCTGTTCCTAATGCAAGTCTAATGATTTAGGGAAGGGGCAGGGCTGGGTTGTGGGGGGTCAGTTGGTTGGCTGGAAACATAAAAATATTATCACTTTTCAATTATTCTTTTTCTGTGTCTCTCAGCCTTGTTTTCCCACTACTGCCTCTAATATCATTTCATCATTGTCTTATCACTATGTCTTCATATTATTTTAAGAGTTGTTGCAAAGGAGCCACTTTGCAGAGTATGCTCTGGGGAAGCAAGTGCTTCCCTATCTTTCTTCCTAACTAGGCTTCTGGTGGAAACCTCAGTATATAAGCAGAGAAGAGCGGATCCATTTGAAACATGGCCTGATGGCCAGAACCTGACCATTTTCTTCATTGTTTGAAGAAGAGCAGTCCACCTCTTTCTGTCCCTGAGGCACCTGAGCAGAATCATAAGGCTCCATGGGACTGTTGCGATGTGCCTTTTATAAATAGCTAGGTTTGGGTCTGTTGTATCTCAGTGAGAGTCTTTGCTTTTTATTGTGATAATTGTTCTTTTAGGTCTAATATTCTTAATGCTATTTTATTTTTTTGGAACTTTATTTCCTCTTAACTTTTCTTTCCTGCCCTCTTTTTCTCCAATGTTTTGGAAGTCATACATTCTATTTTTGTTTACTCTTGGTTACTTTGGATTAAACAAAAATGCCATATACTATATAAGCATGTTTCTTCTTTTCTTCTACTGCAGCTCCTAATAGACTGGGAGAAAATCAAAGCTAAAATTGAGATGGAAATTACTAAAGAACGAGAGCGATCATCAAGCAGCCAGCCCAGCAAGAATTTTGGTCTAAAGCACTAAATGCCATGCTTACCTTTAAGAAGTTTTACCTTAAGAAATTAATTCTGATTAACCAAGGATAAGCATGTTTTCACTGTTAAAGAATCTTTAAGTGTAAGCATTTAATGTGTATTTAATACCAAAAGTATATTCAGAAAGACTAAGCACAAAATAATTGATGTAATTTCATCTTTTATATTTTAGTTCAATAATTAGCAAAACATTCTTATATGCTTCTGATACAGCTGTGTAGTGATGCTTACATTCTAGTTTTCTGTCCATTATTTTATCCTTGAATGTTCAGTATAAACAAGTATTAATGCTGATAATAAAACACTGGATTCTTTAAAATGCATTATTAATTTCTATTTGACCTCTAAATTTTAAAGTGCTCTAAAAGTTTATACAACAAAAAAAATTAAGATTGATTCATGAAAATATATTTATAATATATATAAACTATTTATGAAAATATATGAACTTGCAATGTTCATAGCAGCATTGTTCACAATAGCAAAATGGTGGACAAAAAAAGATGTTCATCAACAGATGAATGGATAAACACACAGTGGAATATCATTCAGCCTTAAAAAAGAATAAAAATTTGATACATGCTACAACATGGATGAATCTTAAAAGTACATGCTAAGTGAACTAAGCCAAACACAAAAGGTCAAAAATTGTCTGATCCCACTTACATGAGGTACCTAGAGTAGGCAGGTTCACTGAGACAGAAAGGAGAACAGTAGTTGCCAGGGACTATCAGGAGGGGGAACTGGGGAGCTGTTGTTTGTAAGTACAGATTTCCTGTCTGGCGTGAATGCGTTCTGGAAATGGACGGTGGTGATTGTTGCCCAATATTGTGAATGTACTTAATGACATGGAACTTAATGACACTTGAAAATGGTTAAAGTGGTAAATTTCATTATCTCTATTTTATCATAATTTTAGAAATACATCTAGAATGGGCAAGAAGTATTTTCCTCCTTCGTCTTCTGACTTGAGAATGTTCAGGCACTGGGCCCTAGAGTCTGAATTTGTGAAAGTCTCCTTAAATGATCAACTTGTTTGACTAGCCTTAATTCAGTATATCCTCAAATTATTACCATAAAAGCTTTTTAAAATTAACACAATCCTTAGAATTCTTCCATGAAGCCATTGTTGGAAGTGATGTATTATAGAGTGGGTGTATGTATATATGCATAGGAAAGTGATTACCTCTTTCCCCATTTTAATTAATGTATCTCGTCTTTTTAAATGAAAATATTCCTGTCTTTTCAACATATTTCTTTTTTTTCTGGAATATTAGAATGTTCTTCATCCAGATGCTGGATACAAAAGTGTATTCAGTTTGAGAAATAGGATTGAGCAGTTTACTTATAAGTTGTACTTGTATGTCTCTCTCTCTCTATATATATATATAGTTTTCTATACTATGTTATATTACAATAAAAAATTTAAAAACAAAAATGGTTAAAAGGATAAGTTTTATATTATGTTTATTTTACTATGATTTAAAAAGTCAAAAAATATAATGAAATATGTCAGCATTCTAGCAACAATTCTGTAATAACCAACTAGGTGCCGTACAATTCAATTCTGACACCACCCAGAGTTAGTGTAGGTCCCACTAGTTAAAGGACAAGATCCTCAACTAGACTGCCCTTATTTCAGTAGCCAGTCGCTAGTGGGGACCCCGGGATATCCACACCTGTCTGGCTTGGCTGCAAATTTGAGGGTTCCTCCCATTCCCCTTTAGGTTTGATAATTCACGAGAATGACTCAACAAACTCACTGAAACGTTTTCTATTACAATCTTATTATAAAAGATACAGCTCAGAAACAGCCAAATGGCAGAGCTGCATAGAGCACAGTCTAGGAGAAAGGAGAGGCCTGGGGGAGTGGCAAACAGAAGCTTCCAGACCCATCACCCTCCTAGCACACCCATGTGCTCACCAGCTAGAAGCTCCCCATGGCCTTGCTGTCCTGAATTTTGTGCTAGGGCTTTGTTACAGAGGCACAGTTGATTAAATCATTGGCTGTGTGACTGAACTCGATCTCCAGCTCTCTTCCTCTCCCTGGAGGTCAGGTGGTAGATTTTAACCCTCTAATCATGTGGTTTTTCTGGTGACTAGCCTTCATCCTGAAGCTCTCTAGGCCCCCTCTTTCATACACATACACACACATGCACACACACAAACATACGTGCAAGCGCACTGGTCATTAACATATCAAAGATACTCCTTTTACTCAGGAAATTCCAGGGGTTTAGGAACCTCTGTACCAGCCTCTCTCCCCAAGACCAGATACATTCTTTGTTACCTCCTAGGCCACTCCCTGGTCTTTGATTACGGGGTCAAAAGGAACATACCTAACTGAGCGTAACAGATACAGCGACATTTGGAGGAGTCAATGTGCGGTAAGGATAGGAAGCCATTGAGCTCAATTTCCCAATACACCTGATTATCAATATCGGCATTATCTTTCCAATAATGCCAGTATTATAGTACAGCACGTTATGGTAGCTGTAACCTGAGAAATAAGAGTCAAAGATACTGACACATTGCCTTGGGTCCCATCCAGTCTCTGATAACCAACCCAATCCATCATCATATCTTATGACTGTCTTGTCTGATTCAAAAGCAGGAGTGGTCTCAGCAATGTATAACTTCACTCTTTCAGGCATTTGGTACAATTGAGCTAAGGGACAATATCATTTCTTGCTCCGAGCTTCCTTCCAAGCATTAATACTGGAATTCTCTCATTGTATAACTCAATTATTTGTTCATTTACCGTTCACTGCTATTTCTCCTCTCTGTTTGTTTCCAAACCCTTTCACCTGGAAGGGCCATTAGGTTCGGCCACTGGGTTGGTCTAGGTGACAGGCAGCAGTGTGAGTCCACCAAGTGCCTCCCTCTCAGTCCACTCCCATTCTATAGGATGGGGTCACATAGGTACAGGGTTAGTGGGTTCTTCCTACCAACTGGCAATATAACTATATTCACTGTTGGCCCCAATATTACCAGATGGAGTGAAAGCAGCACCCACCCCACCAGGCCCTAAGGAATTCTGATACAAAGATTTTAAAACCATTTGTTTTTCAAGAATCATCCCTGCTTCCAGCAATGTATTTGCAGCCATGGTCCAGGTAGAAAAAGGAAAATAAAGGTGATATGGGAAAGAAAGAAAAAAACATAGTCACACCAGCATCCTCACCTCCCCCTTGTCCCCACATTCAGAACAGCAGAGGAATTTATGGAGTGAGAACACTCCCTGAGCCCCGCTTATGTTGAGGGTGAGCACACACTTGTGGAGGCAGGTAAGCCAGCCCTTCCTGCCTAGATCACCGCCCTCCATTTTAGACAGCCCAGGTTTTGATCCCTTTCTAATTCTTTACCAAACTGTTACTCCGAGGAAGAGATCTCTCTGCCCATTGTTGGACGTGATGGCCTATATATTTATAAATAGTGTTCCTTGGTCTGAAGAAATGAGATGCAAATCGGTGGTCCAAATCAGTGCAGTATCTTCTGGCCCGGTTCTTTTGCAGTACTCTGAGCTCTGCATCTACCACTCGGTAGGCAAAGCCCAGTCCAGAGTCAGTGTCTGTTCCTGTGAGGCCCACTACTAACCTCCCGGGCTGCCGGCATCAGCCTGACTTGCCAGCTTTATGCAAGGACCTCCCCTCAGGGACTCTACCCCAGAGACATCAGCAGTCTCTGTGTCTCTTGTTGGCCGGCAGAACAATCCTTGTTGGTGTTTTGTGTCTCAGAGGATACAAGAGAAATGAGTCCAGATTCAGCCCATTTCTAGAGTGCTTCAGCCCCGCAGTGTGCACTTGTTTCACAGACCCAGATGGCTGCCTTCAGTGAGCACACTAGGGTATCTGCTTGTCGATTCTAATTGCCTTCTGATGCAGGAAGGGGCTTCTTCTGGAGGCCTACTTGAATGCACCCCTCAAATTCCCAGAGTGATTTCCACAGGGCCATGCATCGTAAGGGCATCTTCCATTGCCCTCTGCCTGACCACATGGCCAGATCATTGGCCACTGCCTATGAGTAGGTAAAAGTCCAAACAGAGGGGTAAGCAGCCTGCAGTGTAGCTCACCAAGCTGACTTGTTTTCACCTTCTTCCATCAGAGTGGCGACCTTCCAAACAGAACGTTGCCTGTTCATGTTGAAACTGCCATCCATAAACCAAGCAGCTATTTATCGGTCAGTTGAGAGCTGTTTATTGGGCACCGTCCAAGTGATGCTAGAATCCAGCAGCTCCTCACCTGATTCCAAAGTCAGTCCTGGGGGAAAAGAGTCTGCCTACTGATAAATACACTGCATTCCCCCAGTAGCATATTCCTGTGCAAACCATGTCTATTTTACTGCAGAATTCTAGACACTGCCTTTCTCATTAGAGCATTTGTCTGACATCACCAGACACCATGGGTATTTTAGGTTTCAAGGTTATTACTTTTTAATTTTTTAATTGAAGTATAGTTGATTTACAATGTTGTATTAGTTTCTGGTGTGTAACATCATGATTCATATTATATATATATATATATACTTTTTCATGTTCTCCTTCATTATAGGTTATTACAAGATTCAACATTATTTTATCTTTCGGTCACAGGGGCATTTCCAGTTAACATCTGGTAGCAAGCTAGTAATTGCCCCTCAAATGGAAATTCTCTAGTCCAAAATTCCATTAGTCATCCTTGGAGGTGCTTACAGGCTTTCGCCATAAGCTACAGTCTACACTCTACACACAGAGGATTTGTCCGTACAAGCACCCCACCTTCTATTCTGCAATGTGTGGGCTTGGGCAGTCTTACTCATTCCCTCTTAATCATGTCTGGTGAATGTGACTTGAAGGAAGGATTACATGCCTTCTGTTTCACAATTCTAGGTAGGGGAAATATTCCCCAGCCAGAGACAATATCCATCCATACATTCAGGTAAAAAAGTCATAACCACTTCACATAAACTTTGTTCAAATATACCAGTTTTTGTCCATCCCCTTAATCCCATCCACTACTGAGTTTCTATATCCTCTCAATCTATCTGTGTCTCCCATTAGAGCTTTACCAACAGATTTTGGTACCACAATGCGTAGGGCTACCAGGTCAGAGTGTCCTGGAAACTTCCCCACCTTCTGACCACTTTACTCACTGTTGTCTCACTGTTGTGCATTAAGCTTTTGGTCCCCAGTGGAGGGTTGAGCCAAGGGACTGAGACCCTTTTATCAATCTTTATCTTGATTAATCTCCCTATTACTTCAGGTATTTTCTCGATGAGGTTCCTTATTGTAATCTTTGCCTTCCAGTTTTAAAAATTCTTCCAAATTGGGACAAATAAAGC